GAGACGCCACTGAGACCTCCATCCGGGCATTATTACAGGGGCCGGATCACCTCCCCTCCCCTGATCTGAAATAGAGCAACAACAACAAAAAAGATATATATTATTTATTGTGAATGCTCAGTGTTTTTTTTCTTATTTAAAACTGCTCTATTTTATGGACCAAGACCACGTGGGTCTGTACCATGTCTCTACAGCTGCACGTCTCATGTTGCATCAAGGACGTCAGTTCAACATCTTCTACGAAAAAAAAAAAAAAAGAAAAGAAACTCTAATCTGGTTCAGAAACCAACATATCTTCCAGCAGCGAACGTGTCACAGAGATATGATACTGATATATTCTCAGAGCTCCTCTCCAGCAGCAGCTTCAGGACGGCAGCAACAACAGGCCGACACATGAGATGAGTCAGCTGCAGCAGAAAATCACCACAAAAAAAAAAAACAGTTGGCAAGAGATTTTTTTTTTCTTCTTTTGGAAGGATTTAAAGTAGAATTCCATCTTCATGTTCCTGACTAAATATTCAATACTTTCTTTGACATTCAGGTACAAAAAGTTTTTTTTCAAATTTGTCAATGTAGGCCTACAGTACAGTAGGTAAAAAAACACAGAGGTCAAATAGTTTTCGAATGTTATCAAGATCAAGTCACACGTTGCTCTAACATCCCGCTCTAAAAACAACACAATGATACCACAGTATTGTTAAGCTGTTGGCAAGAAAGCAACACCGAGTTTTTTAGGAGTTTTTCAAAACCAAAAATGCTTCATTAAATAAACAGGAATGTGCCAGGTCATTGGTATGACTCGCCACTTTTACGCTGACGTCCTGGGAAGCGACAAAGGGTGACGTGAGATATAAAAATATCCTCCGTGGTGTGCCATTCTCTTTGTAAAAAAAACCTGAAAAACAAGGAGTACCAGAACAACCGTTCTCTACACAATAGAGACAATACATCGTCTTGAGTCCCGTCAGTCCCTGAAATAAACCGGCAGGTCCAGATTGATTATTGTTTATAACGGGGTGAAGAGTGTAAGTATTTTATAAGTTTCTTTTAAAAAAGGGAGAGAGAAATCCACCTTAAAGCATTTCATTAAAAAATATTTTCAGTAAATGGTGAGGAGGGACAGTGAAGGAGACAGTGAAGGAGACAGTGAAGGAGACAGTGAAGGAGACAGTGAAGGAGGGACGGTGAAGGAGGGACAGTGAAGGAGGGACAGTGAAGGAGGGACAGGGAAGGAGACAGTGAAGGAGGGACAGTGAAGGAGGGACAGGGAAGGAGACAGTGAAGGAGGGACAGTGAAGGAGGGACGGTGAAAGAGGGACAGTGAAGGAGACAGTTCCTCATGAAGGAAGCGCGTGTTCTCTTAAAGCAGAGGGAAAGTGCAGGAACAGTCAGAACAGACACGTAAACAACAAGGTGCTATATTTGCATTCGGTGCGACATCTATCTGCAAATGTCCGCCATCTGTTCCACCGGCATTAAAAAAAATTAAATAAAATAAAAAATAGATGCCATCATCCACAAGTAGCCTTAACCAAAATCAGTGCAGCCCACATCACTCAGGGACAGGCAGGGATGTAGGAGACACTTCCACTTACACCTGGATATGAAACAGGAAATCCTCATGACCTTTTAAGGTGACAAAAAATAAAATAAAATCTGCCAGCGTCGTAGTGATGACGAAGGGTTTTAAATGTCACGTTAATTCACTAATGTTGCCACAATAACCACCATTTTGTAAACACTTTATTCAACGTGTAATTAAATAACAGACCACAGGTGTCTGTTACTGTCCACTACAGTGATTCAGTTTAAATATATGTGATAGTTCCTAATGTCAATAGCTCTTTTTTTAAGTTTTTGTAGGAAAATCCTAAGCTCTACAATCTAAGATTTAGAGTCCAAGATTTCATCTTATTTTCTTTTCTTTTTTTTTTGTGAAAATGACAAATGATCTCCTCGAGAATCTGAAAGAAAAAGCTAAGAAAAAATGAAATAACTGGTGGTTCTGAGTGACAGCGTTCAGGGCACCAGCCTTTGCCCCTCTTGTCCGTCTGACCTTTCTTATCCCACTTCAACTCCTGAGGTCAGTGTTGTCTCTGACCTCCATTCCTGGAGGAGATCCTAAATATCTGCCAAGACCGGCCATGCCTTAACGGTTCTGACTCGGTGTGAATGCCGTCTTTTGCAGCCCCAGCTGACTCGCTGTCAGAATTTCTCACCGGAAACAGAGGGAGGCAGGGTCCCCCCCACCCTTCACCCCCTGATGACTAGACTAGAATAGGGAAATTTGATTTGTCTGCCCCCCAGCAGCCACGGCTCGTCTAAATGTCAAACGCATGGCAGATTCCTTTTTTTTTTTTTTTTTAAATGGAATAGTTGCTTGAACGTTGACCTGAGTGTTGGGGTGTGTCAGAATGAGGTCAGGAGTAAAGGCTAAGAAAAACAGAAACAAAGCTCAAGACAAAGACACGTCCCCGCCCGCACGGCTTTGCCACCGCTCCTGAATGTGCTCCAGTCATGAAGTCCATTCTCGTCGTTCAGCCTCGGACACGTCACTGCAAAAATGTAACGATAAACTGTAATTCTCCTGACAAGTTAAAATGCTAAAAATCTGAGCCAAACTGCAAGAGGGGGAGTGGGGGGTGGGGTCTGCTGCTTTTGTCAGCTCTCCCATTGCTCCATTACCAAGCCCTATTCAGCCTCTGCACACCCCCACTTCCAATAAAAAAAAAAAAAAGGCCCTAATGGCTGAGCCGTGTTCCTACCATACAAAACAGTCTTTATATACATTGTGGGAGGGAGAAACGTGATCCACTGAGGAATCAACGGCGTTTAAACAGTCTTTCACTGACACAGGGCTCATATATGGACTGTATTATACAGAAGGGGTGTGTGTGTGTGTGTGTGTGGAGATGGGTGGCCAGGGCTGTGGGGTCTCGCTGCCTGTCAGCAAGGTTTGGAAGAAGGAAAGGGATTGCTCTGGGATGACATCAGAGCCGCAAGTACAGTAGTGGCTAAAGCTGTGGTTGAAAAAAAAAACCTGACTGGGGGGTCTGGGTGTGTATGTGTCTGGTAAAAAGCTGAATGGCTGCAAAAAAAGAAAAAAAAGTGGTCTGCTTCCTTCTGAGCTGCCTCACATTAACGGACCGGTCAAAGAGCGGCCTTCATGTCGACTGCCGCCCTGGTTTACGTCCTGTAGGACCCGTCTCTGTGGCCCATGTTTGTTCTTTGATAAATAAGGACAAAAGACGAGGAAGAAACTCCTCAGTCAACAGTGCAAGTCCTGGAAAGAGCGGCATCACTACATCATGGGCCACAAACACGAAGCTTCCAGCTGATATTTGAAGGTTTACAGACATTTGTTTTTCCAGAGAGACACATTTTGATGTTTTTTTTGCCTCAGGATTGTTTGTTTGGAAGAATCAAACGTTAAAGAACGCATGAAGAACTCATAAGAATAAATCTGTGAATATAAACACATTTTAATGCACGCACAAAATAACCCAAGACTGTGTTTATATCCCATAATTTCAATAATAATCCAACATTCCTGTTAGAGGAATATAAAGAAATAACCATCTTTTCATCATATTTTAGGAACGTTGATTAATCTAGATTAATTATAATTGTGATTAATCCAGAGCTACCCGGTAACACGTTTGGTTTTTATCGTTTGACGTGTCTTATATCTGACACGTGATACGTATTTGACCCTTTCTTAACCAGTGGGTACAGAACATAAACCATTTTTTATCTTTACTTTTTTTTTCCTCAATTATTTTGTCTGTCATGATTTATACACAGGTGAGAGTGAAAGATTCTGGAGCTGGAAAAACTTAGAGAAAAGAATGTGCAACACTGCACGAACAGGAGAAACAGGTACGAAAAAAAAAACCAAACAGCCTCACGTACTCACATAACACAACAAAAGAGTTGGTTCAAACACGGAACGGAGGATAGGTTGGTGAAACGTCACTAAGCTTTTAACTTAGAACTCGCACAAAGAGCTGTCAAACAGTAGCTCATTATATGGGCCTTCCTTCACATTACAAAAAAAACTAAACTAAACAAAACAACTGAAGCCTCGCAAAAAAAAAACAAAAACAAAACAACTGAAGCCTCGCTGTCTTCACACCCACACACACATGAATTAAGACAAATAAACCTAAATTGGACAGAGTTTTGAAGTTGACAAAACAATAAACAAATTGTGATGCAACATCAGTCCATAAACACACAACCTTTAAATTATTATTATTATTATTATTATTTCCATTCCTTCTCAGAACAGCCAAGTATTTTGGCTCTTTTCACCTTTTACATGTCTGTTATTTTTGGCATCATCATCCTATTCCCTAAATTAACCATGTATTTAATAGTAGGTGACATTATAAACCATTTCCCTTTTGAGACTCACTCATTAACGTCGCCCCCTATAGACCAACCTCCTGTCCTGGGGACCGATGGAACCTGAGCCTTAAAAGACCTTACCTCTAAAATCCAAAAAAAAAAAATGACATCGAGGGCAACTGGACGAAGTAGGGTTTTTTGTTTTTTTGATCGAAATTTGGATTAAATGACCTGGATGACTGAGAACGTACACGGACATCTTACCTCTAAAACTTCCTGGTACTATAGAGTACACATCACCAACCAAGTACATAAATGATCCGGTCTAGAAGTCAGACGTTGCTCTATTGTCCCTTTTTATTAAAAGGCGTCTCTGTTTTACAAAAATAACAAAAACGAAGACAAATATTTATACCGCAATGACAGATGACAGCTTTTCCTGTCCGACAACAACATGTGCAACATATATTTATTCCCATCTATATTAACAAAACTGTACAGACCAGTATGGGAGGTCCCTTTGTTCAGACCATGGGAATTACTTGTATCACTATGGCCTATCAAATAATTTCAGCCGACAAAAACTGAACAAATA